GCTGGCCTCCAATTCAGAGATCTGCCTGTCTCTGCCATCACACCCAGATCAACTATGAGTAAATGTTAAATTTTGTGGGGTAAAAATTAATACAGCCATTGTGGAAATCAGTTTAAAGATTATTTGTATATGTTTATTGCTGCTTTATTCACTATAGTAAAGACTTGGAATCAACTTAGTTGTCAGTTAACAGATGAATGGATAATGAAATCTTGGTTATATTTTTTAAAATGGAATGCTATCCAGCTCTAAATAACAATTAAGTTAAGGAATTTACAGGAAGCCAGGTGTGGTGATATCCAGCTCCAGGGAATTCAGTGCCCTCTCTGGCCTCCACAAGCACCTACACTCACATACCCCTACACATATACATAATTTAAAAAAATTTTAAATGAAACCTTGGCAATAGTTAAAATAATGTAACTAGATTACTTTACTTATTACTATCTATGCCAGAAAAGCAGAAATTCACCAACTTGGCAAATAAGAGAAAAAAATGAACAAAAATGATTCTCTTGCCTAATCCTGACTGCTTTATTACAGAGATTCTAGGAATGGGAAAAAATACAAAGCCTGGAGACAGATTACAAAATTAATAGCACCCATAAGAGCAAGAGAATCTGATCCACCATATGTTATCCCTTCCAAAGTATATAAAATTTTATATACTCCACACTATGCCAAATGTCACATCAACTCATTCCTTACAATAATGCTAATATGGTGTAGAGAGCAGCAACCCCACGTTCCCGACAATCCAATTGAAGCTTGTACCCTGAGAAATATGCCCAAGGTTACAGAGCTATTAAGTGGCAGAGAGCCAAGAGTCTTGACTCTAAAACCCATACTATTTACCCACTGCTACACTACTTATTACCATAGTATAGATGAAAGGGCACTGGGTTCCAGACTTAGCTTCATCCCTTGGGCAAATCACCTGACCTCACTTACCTAGCAGTGTGTCATCAGTAAATGAGGACAATGTCAGCTGCCCAACCTTCTCTACAGCATCTGAGTGATGCTAAAAGAATTAATGCATTTGCAAGTATGCTATAAAAATGATAGGACACTATATAAATGTAAAGTTTTGTTAAGGTGAATCCAAGCATTATATTTTAGACTTCAAAATGGTTTGTAGACCTAAAAGCAAATTTAGTAATAGTTAAATATATGTCAAGGTTTTTATTTTTAACTATCTGTATGTATAAGGGTATGTCAAGGTTTTTATTTTTAACTATCTGTATGTATAAGGGTATGTATAGGTGCCCATGGAGGCCAGAGGCATTAAGAGTTCCCTGAAGCTGGAGTTGTAGGCCACCTGATACGGGTGCTAGGAATTGAACTCTAGTCCTCTATAAGAGCAGTTATCAGCCTCTTAATGGCTGAGACATCTCTCTAAGGTCTGTCCAAAGAATTTTATTCAATGATGATAAATCATCTTTTAACATTCCCAAGCAGAACTTTAGTTAAATACAAAAACACTGAGACATTTTAGAAAAGACTAAACTATGAAGACAATTACATGACCAGTTTAGAAGACACTCTGGACTACCATAGTGAGACTGCTAATAAACACATAAATACAGTGGCAACTTGACATGATATGATGTCACATGCCTGTAATCCCCACATTCAGAACGCTAAAATTGGAGGATCAGAAATTGGCCTAAATTGAGGCCAGCCTGGGCTACATGGTGAAATACTATCTCAAAAAACAACACAGCACAGGCTGGCAAAAATGGCTGAGGGTAAAGGCACTTGCTGCCAACCTGAGCTTGATCTATGGGGACACATATGGTAAATGTTGTCTTCTGACCACCATACAGGTATCATGACTGACACTGACATACAAACACACAAATAATTATCAACAAAGTAAAAAAAAAAAAATTAGTTGGTGCCAGCAGTTGGGAGGGATGACTAGTTGGAGCATAGGCTACCCTAGGCACATGTTATTATATACTTGCCAAAATTCATACATTATATAACATCACTGAACCCTGTAAACGATGGGGTTAGTCAGTAATAATGTATCTGTGGTTTCTGAACAACTGTAACAAACTGTAACACATTACTACAACATTTAGGGAAGGGGTATTTGTGAGCAGGAACATGAGAACTCTGTACTTTATGCTTATAACTAGTTTTTTGTTTGTTTTGTTTTTCAAGACAGGGTTTTTCTTGTGTAAGAGCCCTGGCTGTCCTAGAACTCACTTTGTAGACTAGGCAGGCCTTGAACTCACAGAGAGCTGCCTGCCTTCTTGAAGTTAGGATAGTAAAATTGAAAAAGAAAGTTTAAAACTTTAACTTTAACAAATTGAAGCTGGGCCCAATGGTACAAACCTGTAATCCCCACCACCCAATCCCTAGTATTAAAAAAATATGCAAATTAGATCACTACATGTGGTTAGTGCCTATAATACCAGCAGTTTTAAGGCAATTTCTCAAATGACACCTAAAAATATACTGCAATATTACCTTTAGAAGAGAAAAGTCACCTCAAGAGCCTGTTCAAGTGAATATAGTTATGAAACCATGCTATAATTAACTGAGCAGGTCAAGAGTAACTAGGCACTTAAGCCAGGAGTTCAAGGCCAGCCAGATGAACAAGGCAAGATTCTGTCAATTTTTTAAAAAGTGGGTGTAGTAATCTCACTTGCACAGCACTTGGGAGACCAGACCAGACACTGCTTCAGAAAAATAAAAATGACTAGGCAGATGATTTGAACCAGGAACCAACAGAGCCCATCTCCACTTTTCTTCAAGTCCTATGATATAAATAATAACAAGAAATCATGTTTCTTAACTCCTCCAATACTTTAAAAACAACTGAAATGGTTTAACATCATTTCTGCTTCCTGAAAAACAAAAATATAGAGGTTAAGTTAGAAAAAGGAATATTTTCCTAGGTTCCTCACCTAGAATCAATAAACTGAAGATCATGAATGAGCAACTAAAAATTAATGTTTACAGATACAAGATGTTCACCCAATTTTGAACTGGTGATTCAAAAAGTAATGTTAATTTCTACTTCATTTTACAGTCAGATAGAAACCAAAAGATTTCCAAAAGAGCAGAGCATGAGCAAAGAAATACAAAGGTAGTAAAAATAAAACAACAGATATATAAGACTATTCATATCCAGCCATTAACCAAAGCCCTGAACTCCAAGTGCTATTACCTCTTACCCTCGGTAGTTTAAAATACTAGTTGATTAAACCTTACTTCCCAATTCAATGACTTTTTGTCCTTATTCCAGTGGCATAAAAGGGAACTTATGTCCTCAATTGCAGTGGCTTTTTATCAGAGTCCTCCCCTGGGGAACCTATGAAATCAAACACTGAGTTTGGCTCCCCACCCTCAGGGAATAAATGTCCAAAGTGACAGTGTTGAATCCCTAAAGAACTGTTGGGCCACCGCTTCTTTTCCAGTCTTCTAAGCAGTAGGTCCTTCTTTTATGAGAAACAGAATATAACATGAAAATACCTGACCTTAGAAAAAAAGCATCAGAGGCCAGAGTGGTGGCTCATTGCTGTAATCTCGGCACTCAGGAAACGAAGGCAAGAGGAAAATGATAAATTCAAGACAAGCCTGGGGTACACAGTCAAATGAGGCCAGCCTGCTACAGGATAACCCATTTCAAAAAAAAAAAAAAAAAAGTGAGGGAGAAAAGGAACAGGCCCCAAAAAAACCAATTCTTGACAGTGCTCAAATGTAAACCAGACCTTTGTTCTCCCTTTTGAAGTTCATGAATCGCATTAGAAAAATATTATTTCGTAACTTCATACAGGAGTGGCTTTTAAGATTAGTCAAATACATAATTAAATAATACTAAATAGCTCTCAGTGGTCAAGCAGGGTGTCCAACAAGTCAAGCTGTTTCAGTATGTTCTCCTGCAAGGCAAAGGGACGGAATTTACACCTTTTCAATACCATACACCCCAGTTCTTGGTTCCTGGGCCTGAAAGCCCTGTACCCTACTCGTTGTGCAATCGTTGTCAAAACTCCACCCACTGAGCTCCAGAACAAGTGGATTTCTCCCATTCTGAAAGAGATCTCGATTTTCTTGTATCCAGGGAGACACTGAAAACTCCTTGACATGAGTCAAGTAAGGCAAGGGGGAACAAATGGTCCAGCTCCTCTCCTAGGTTAAGAAAGACCAAAACCAAAGCCCAGGAGGCACTCAAGTTTCCACTTACCAAATTAAAAAAGAAAGAAAAGAAACAGAGGGTGGTTGCAGGAATGGAGAGACAGCTATCAGCCGAGGATGCTAGATCCTCAGCATCACCACCTCATCCTCAGCCTCACACTCAAAGCAGGTCGGTGATGCCCCGAGACCAAGCCCTGGTGTGGGTGTCGGAAGCCCTGCGGCGTCCCCCGCGTAGTCACCCGCACAGTGTCGCGAGGGGCCGCGGGGGGTGGGGCAAAGGGAAGGGGGGAAGGGGCGAAAGGCAGTCCGGGCTTGTGCGCTGTTATCTTACTGCGCAACAGCCTCTGCTCAGAGGCCGGGGAGCACCCCGCAGAGCGCGCCCTACGCACCTGCCCAACGCCAAGAGGGCGATCCTGTACCCCGGTAAGCCCCCACCCCCACACTGCCACCTCCTTGGGCAGCGGAGTCCCAGTGCACAGTGACCACGCAGGCTGAGACACAACACCTGACGACCCAGGGCAGCGCCTGCCGCACGTGTCTGTCACACCTGGAGCGCCCCTGCCTAGCACCCCTTCACCCTCTCAGCCTGGGGTCCACCCTGTCCTTCCTCAGCCCCCTACAGCCTAGCGTTCCCAAGTCTCAATCATCGTCCCTTCTCACCCGATCCATTTCAGACTTAAACCCCCCACCTGCTCCCAACTATCGTCACTCTTCTGAAGGAAAAGGGGGAAAGGGCCGGATGTTCGTCCGGTAGCTAAAGGTAAAGGGGATAAGTGAAGAGGTGAACCCCAAAAAGGGTAACCCAATCATTCCTGCGACCCAACCACAACGAAGGCGTCCCCTCCACTGACCTTCTGCCGGGGACTGCGTCGCCGTCCGCCCCGTCCGCCCTCAATAGCCTCCTCAGTACCGCCGCCTCTTCCCCGCGTTGCCTCCTCAAGCGGAGTCGCCATGAGGTGACGGCAGCAGCCAAACAAGCGGCTGGACCAGGGGCACGGAACCTCTCAGGGGCATCGGCCCCGCCCCCTTTACACCCCAACCAACCGTAGCGTGAGTGTCTTCCCACGTGACCGGAGGAGGTTGGCTCCTGAGGGAAGGCAGTTTGATGGGGGTGGGGAGCGTAGAATTTTGGGCTGGGCTTCTGTTAGGGCCGAAGGGCAGACCGAGGCCGCTGGAGTCTGCGCGGAGAGGGAAAAGGAGTAGACTACAAGTCCCAGCAGAATGTGCGGCCACGGCTTCCAGTGATGGATCCGTATAGGAGAGTCCGGGGGGCGGGGTTGTGCGGGGGGGGGGGGGGGGAATAGTACCCGCTGTGCTGAATGTGCAGCCTTCTGGGGCTTGTAGTCTCTGAGGGGCAATGTCGCGGTACCGGAAAGTAGTCTTTATTAACCTACAAGAAAAGTTTTAAAATCCTCCAGAGTTTGAGAAGGAATAGAACCGGAGACACTTTTTTGTGGTTTTGCTTTTGTTGTTGTTCTTCATAATTATGAAAGTATGATTTGGGAATAAGAGACTCTAACTTTGCTGTTTTCGAGGTGGGAGATGCAATCTCAGAATTTGAGACGTTGGACACTTGCCCAGAGTATAGCCTCTCTATCAGAGTTCTCACCAAGGTTTTTCTGTCCAGAGTTCCTTTGGGCTGGAGGCCTAATCACCTTTGCTCAACTGCTCTGGCTTCAAACACAGTTCTCCACGCTTAGTTCAAGATTAATTCATGTTGAAAATTTCTTGCTTTTTCCACCATATGTTTTGCTAGTTAAAAATATCATGAACTCTGTTTACTAAAACAGTTATTTTTTCTTGTTATGTTGGAGAATATCACTCATAGAAATATCCTGTTTTCTAGTTAATGAAACCAGATCCTCAGTAGCCTATTGTCTGGAAGTCACAGATCATCACAAAATCCAGACACTGAAATAATTCACTATGAAAATCTGTGCAAATATACTTTTCCTACAGTTGAACACTGACAGCCAGTTGTCCAGGACAGCCAGAACTACACAGAGAAACCCTGTCTCAAAAAAAAAAAAGAAAGAAACTCTTAATTTTAACTATTATTATTTCTTTTAATTTGGGTAGAGTACCATTATTCAGACACCTCAGTCCAGGTTTGAGATTTCAAAACAAAAGCATTGTTCGAGACACAGATGGTACATGACAAAGAACCTACAGCCAGACTATGTATACAATCATCTCTCATCTTCTAAAAGGAAGACTATCCCAGTAAGACTTAAAATAAATACATTAGTAGTGCAATTCTCCATGGCTTTGAGTGATAAAATGCACCACACTTAAATTATAGTGCAATAAAAATAAAATAACAAGTAGCTACCAAACTTACAAGCATTTTTAAAAGACTTATTTTATTTATTTCATATATATATAAGTACACTGTAGCTGTCTTCAGACACACTAGAAGACGGCATCAGATCCCATTACAGATGGTCAGGAGCCACCATGTAGTTGCTGGGAATTGAACTCAGGACCCCTGGAAGAGCAGTCAGTTCTCTTAACCACTGAGCCACATCTCCAGCCCAAACTTTTTTTTTTATTTAGGAAAAAGATCTCATTTACATAGAACAGCATGTTTATATATTTATAACAGATGTCAGAAAATTACTCCTTAACCTGGTGTGGTGGTGTAAGCTTTAAAGACCAGTACTCAGTAGACTGAGGAGGCAGGTGCATCTCTATGAGTTTCAAGCTAGTCTGGCCTACTTAGTGAGTTCCAGGCCCAGCCAGTATTGCATAGTAAGACCCTGTCTTAAAAAAGAAAGACAGACAGACAGACAGACAGACAGACAGACAGAAAAAGAGAGAAAAAAAATAAGCCTGGCATTGGTGTGCAACAGGACAGCTGGACTACATAGAGAAACCCTATTTCAAAAAACAAAAGGAAAAAAAGAAAAGAAAATTACTCCTCAGTGTGTTAATTCTTTTCCTGAGTCACCAGTCAGGAAAAGATTTGAGAGTACGGTTACTTCTGATTGTTGAGTATGCCAACTAGGCATGCCTGTAATCCCAGCTTTTGGGAATTGAAACCTACAACTAGAAAGGGGAATCAGAGATTCAGGCTCATCCTTGATACAAAGTTACAACAAAGTCAGGCAGGGTAGTGCGTTCAAGACTAGCTATGTCTAATATCTACCTACCAAGTTCCAGAGCTATAACAGTGAGACCCTGTCTGAGACACACACACACACTAAAAAAGAATGCACTGTTGCAGAAATGATAAAGTAACTTGAGTCCTGACTTCAAAAGAGAGAGGATGCACTGTAGCAGAAATGAAAAAGTAACTTCTTGAGACCTGGGCTCAAAAAAAAAAAAAAAAAGAACACTGTAGCAGAAAGAAATGATAGTGTAACTTATAAAACAATACAGAAAGATAGCTTTTGCCAGGTACACGTGTACACACACACACACACCTTTTTCTGAATCCAACCAACTTGTTTTGAGTTTTTTGTTTGTTTGTTTGAGACAGGGGTTTCTCTATGCAGCTCTGGCTATCTCAGAACTCCCTAGACCAGGGGGACATAGACCTCACAAAGATCTGCCTTCCTCTGCCACCTAAGTGCTGAGATTGAAGGCATTTGCCTCTTGACTCTTTTTTATTTTTTGAAATTATAATTTGATTACAAAATGTCTCCCTTCCCTTTCCTTCCTTCAAACCGTCCCATATACCCCATGTTGCTCTCCTTCAAATTCTTGAGGTTTTTTCCCCCCACTCAAATAGCAGAGGCTGGCAGTAGATGTTAATGTATTCTATTGAGAGCTCAGATTCCAGGCCTAACGTATTCCGGTCTTTGTTTCTGAGTCTTTAAGGGGTGCTCCATACTGTCTTCGTTGATTGTTTTCACCTTTGTTCCAGGAAGTATCTGTTTAAAGCTCTGGGCCTGTAAATTTGCTTGACAATAGGGTAAAGGCCGTGCAAACCTCAGCTCCCCAGCTTACCGGAATTCACTTAGGGCTCACTGAGGGCTGAGCTCTGACCTTGGTAAGTGGTCCATTTATTCCAAGGACCTTAATTATTTGTATTGTTTTTCTTTGGGGGAGGGAGCTGAAGATGTGGCTCCACAGTTGAGAGTGCTTGAGGCTCTTGTACAGGACTGGAGGTTCCCACACCTACCTCACTCCGCTCCCAACTACCTGTAACTAAACTTCTAGGGCATCACATATCCTCTTTTGGCCTCCAAGGGCATCTGCATGCATGTGCACATGATAGCAGGCATATATACAAACATACTTAAGTACACATAAAAAAAGTCTTAATCATGATAAAAAAAATAAATCTGGAATTTTTCTTTATTCTTTTTTTTCCCCCAGCAGTGAGGATGGAACCCAAAAGGACTTCTGCATGCCAGCAAGGGCTCTTACCACTGAGCCAAGTTCCAGGCCCATTCAGAAATTCATTACAGTCTTGACCATGTAGCACAAAACTGTTCCTGCGACTAGAAGCCCAGTTCTGAGCTTGCAGATGTTCCAGCCACCATTTTTTTGTGAATCATGAAGTGTTCTAGACAGATTCCCGACTACTGCAGAGGGAAATTGCAGCAAATATCTAGGAAGTAGAAACCCTCAGAACTCATAGCTGGAGGCTAGACTATTAAGAGATTTAGCCTATGATATTCTTCTTCGGTTGATTTTGTTTAAATTGTTAGCTTTTGAGGATATTTTTGAATATATAGCATCTCGCTCTATAGTCCAGGGTAGTTTGAACTGGCAACAATATTCTTAACTCCCCCTCCCAAGTGCTATGTTTATAGCCGTCAGCCACACCACACCTCCACACCTACCATTTGTTTTGGTTCTCTCTCTCTCTCTCTCTCTCTCTCTCTCTCTCTCTCTCCCTCCCTCCCTCCCTCCCTCCCTCTCTCCCTCCCTTTCTTTCTCTCTCTCTCTCTCTCTTTCTCTCTCCCTTTCTCTCTCTCTTTCTTTCTTTCTTTCTTTCTTTCTTTCTTTCTTTCTTTCTTTCTTTCTTTCTTTCTTTCTTTCTTTCACAGGATCTTCCTATACAGTCCTGGCTGGCTAGCCTGGAACTCAACATCCAAATCAGGTTGGCCTCAGACTCATAGAGATCAACTTGCCTCTGCCTCCCAAGCACTGGTTTTAAAGGCATGCACCTCTATATGCAGCTAGTTTTAAACTTGCATCAGGCTAGCTCAGTGGGTTTGACCGGGGGGGGGGGGGGTTTCTATTCTGTGAGACACGTTGGTAACAAGGAACCATTTTTTTTTGTTTACTTTATATGTCAGATCTGAGGGCTTGGGTAGTTGATACCTGCCCAAAGAAAATGGGCAACTTGGATTTCCCCCTCCAGGAAGCTCAAATCCTAGGCAGAGTGTCCTAGGTGCTTGTGTTACAAATTCTGGACTTCTGTGATAGTGAGAGCAACGATGGGGCATGGGATGTATGTATCCTCGATATCTACAAAATGTCAGGCATAGAGAAAGCTCTCAATATATGCTTGCTGAGAAAAAGGAAGTGGAGACGATCCCCGGTACTCAGGCTTGGTGATTCATGTCTTTACTACTTGTACTCTGGAGGCAGAAGCAAGAGCATTGCCCAAGGGCAGTCTGGTCTTGAAGAGTAAGACTCTGTCTTGAAGAATAAGAATAAGAGGTGGATGGGGAAGAATGGAAAAAAGCAAAAAAGACAAAGAAGAGGAGGAGGAACAGGTGGGAAGGAGGAACTGAGGAGATGGCTCAGTTGATAAAGTGCTTGCTATGTAAACACACAAACACAAGGACCCGAGTTTGATCCCCGGCATCCACATGAAGAACCAGGCTTGGGCTGGAGAGATGATTTACCTACTAAAAACATTTGCGGGGGGCTGGAGAGATGACTCAGTGGTTAAGAGCACTGACTGTTCTTCCAAAGGTCCTGAGTTCAATTCCCAGCAACCATATGGTGGCTCACAACCATCTGCAATGTGATCTGATGCCCTCTTCTGGTGTGTCTGAAGT